AAGTTCCAAATGGAGAATCATAATTCATAACTGCTGTCTTTTCCATATTTCTGTACACAGCGTAAGTGAATAAACTGTTAGCGTATGCCAATTCTTACCACAAAAAGAATTTCCTATTTTAAAGCATAGGAAAGCAACTGCAGCAAAAATCTACATATGGAAATCCTGCATAATTACAAATTGCTGCTACCAATTCAGAAAATTCTTAGTAGCTGTTGGCAAACACTATTTTATATCTTTGAAGTAATTCAAGATTTTTCAGGATAATTTCTTTTTTTTTTTTTTCCTTAAACATTGAGAACATTAAATTGATGTTTTACTGTTTGGCTGAAGATAACTTTAATTCAAACCAAGTGGCACTATGCACCACTCAAAACTAAAGATGCCCATAAAAGTTCGTCTGTAACTTTACTGTTCACTTCTGCCTGATAACTGTTTTGATCATGGAAGTGTTCTTATGCTGAGGATCAGGCAAATGCCATTATAACATGATGTAAATATTGCCAAAAGTAGCTATTTTGGAAATTTTAGAACTGAAACATTAGCGCTGTCCCCCAGTTAAAGTCCGGAGGTTTTAGTCAAATATGTGATGATTAAACTGGGAAATAAATACCGAAGTATCACATCCACAAATCCACACACCTACACAAATACCAAATCCTACAGACCCTGAACTATCAAACACTGATGCTGACTAGATTTAAATGCTACGTTGCGTACAATCACGGGAGGGCAGTCATTTTGTCTATAAAGTGGATTAATACCAACCATAATTCCTCACATTGTGCCCACTCAATGAAGAGGAGATTCAATTCAGTGTTTTTAAGTTCCAAAAGCCTAAAATGAAAGATTGGTTGGTCTGCCTCTTCCAACCGCACAAAAATCAGCCAATGCCAAATCCATCTTAGCCCAGAACATTTTTATAAACAGATCATTTATTTGATTTTTCCATAACAGAGACATTCAATCAACTGCTGGAGTTGGAAACTAGCAGAGGGGAAAGACTAGATACAGATAAAAGAAACAACTTGAACAAATCTAGCCATTTAGGTGCACTGAGACCTCTTTTCCTACTCTCATCCTAACCCTAGCACTGCCTTCACGTGGAAGGAAGGTGGAGGTCACTTACTCCTGGTGGAAATACCCAGTGGGGAATGTATCACCAGACAACAAGCCAGGAATACTAAGAGAGAGCCAGAAATCACATTTAAAAAAAATTAAAAATCACAGAAAAAACAGCATTGCTTTTCAATACTAGAGCCTAAAATTAGTTGCCAGTACTGTAACATAATGAACTGGCTTCCTGTAAAGAATTTGTTCTGTAAATCCTTCAGCCATATCTTTTATCAAGTTAGACTTCCATTTTACGTGTTAGTCACATTGTGCTCAGGTTGTGCTGCAATGAAGGAAGAGGTAGATCAGACTTTCAACAGCAATATTGTTTTATTCTGTCTTTTCCCAAAGATGACTTTGGGAGATCCAACTAAGTTATCATGTTTAGCTTATTCTGCCCACAAAATCTTTGTAACTGTGAGAGCAAGAAAAACTGGAGAGCACTGTTCCGCTCATAAGGAAAGTTTATATTCTGCTGCAGTCACAGAACTGCAGGATCTAAAATAATCTGCAAAACCCTTCTCCCCCAAAGCTCTATTTGAAACTGCTTGGATAAAAATAAGTCTCAGAAAGAGAAACAGCTGTATCAACTCAAGAGTAGAGATAATGCAAGCAAAAAAATTACTATTTTCTATGAGGATGAAGGATTTTCCAGAATCTATTTATAGGAATATGGCATAATTTACCAGTGTTTATATACTCTGAGCCCAAATTTTATCTGTATTCAAGGCTGCAACACCTAACAAATCCAAACAGGAATAAAAGATTCCTATCAAATCTCTTACAAGCATGATAACTTGAAGATGAATCATCTGACTTTTTCTTTGAAGCAAGGAAGCCTTCTTAGCTCTTAAGTACTACTCCAATTATATTAAATGTTTCTTTCCAGAGTAACTCTTTACTCTCGTTTATTATTTATGTTTTTCTCAATGCTCCCTCTGTTGCATCATTTGTTTTCTATATGCAACCAGCCTCTGTTTCTGAGCAGAGGATGACATTTCTTCATTCTTCACGCAGTTTCCAGAATCTCTCAGATTCTCAAGCACATTCAAGAAGCTGCCTTCACCACCTTCACCAGCTGCAATAGGTTTTGATGTTTTATCTCAATTAAATTTAGGGATCCTTTTTCTGGAGTAGTCCTATTTTAGTTTTCTCATACAGGAAGAGACATGTGGAACACAGTCCTTAAGACTCTTTTCCAATAGCTGTCAATCAAGGAAGAACAGGCTCCCAGGTTATGACGTGACTAGGAGTACACCCTTATATCCGTTGACAAAAAATAGCACCTAGAGCCATGAAGTGTTCCAGAAAAGCAGAATTTCAAAAGACAAGCAAATCTATTGTCCATTTTATAAGCTTTCAGTTACTAGGCCAGGTGTCACCAAGACCAGTAGATTCTGTAGAATACCAGTGTGCCAGAAAGCAATTGTGGACTGGAGGAATTAAACAGACAATAAAACTATCCACACCTATATGTTTAAGATGTTCACCACTGAATACAAAGGGACCCTTTGCATAATGTGTTGTGAGAAATAAAAATACAGATCTTTATTAAAACGTGCATTCATATAAAATTTCTCTTTCACACTTCATAATTATTGCTGGTTTTTTCCCCAGAAACCAAGATCTATACAACTCAGAACTCAAATGATAGTTCTGTTTAGAAGAAAATCAAACACTTCATTTGCTTTTCCTACTACTTTATTGTTAAGGAATTTGTAAGAGATTTTGTAAGAAAGAAAACTATGTACTCGTAACATATTTCCTATGCTCATTAATAGGACTTACAGCTGCCTCATGGGAACTGGGCAGAGTGTATCGCAGTGTGCCTTCTCCTACAGGTGCATGAAATCAGAGACACCAAAGCCTTTTAAGAAAGTTAGGCTACCAGCTAACAGACTTGCCAAAGCATAAAGAACAAGACTCAGTCTGTCACCGAAGCCTGTAAGATTTCTTTCAACTGCTCATAAAGCTACTAATGCAAAGGAATCACTGATCTGACAAAAGCCTCTGGACACTACAGCAAAACAAATAAACGAAGAGACAAAGGTAGTTAGTGTACATTAGGGCTGAAAAACGCATAGGGCTAGCATTGCAGTAATAAGATGCTACTGCCAGATAATTGTTTTTCTGACCATTTTCAGACATAGTTAAATCACAAAAAATCAGAGCCAGAAAGAACTAGTAGGTCTTCCAGTCCGTTCTCCTGCCAGTGCTGATGATTGTAAGGTAACTCTTCTGTATCTGTATCAGATAAAAGATCCACTGCTACGGGAAGAGTGTGTGGTCTGGTTTCCATCCAGCCTTAGACTTTAAACAAAATACAACTGGAAATTCATTTTCGTCAAAACCCCTCAAGTCTCACACCAGATACAGACCTTAGACTGCATATAATGTTATGGAGTCTAATGCTTGGGGTAGTCCTGCCAGACATACACACATCTGAGTACAGATTTGAGACAGAAATATCTGCAGGCAAGGCAGAGGCTATAAATGCTGTTTATTACTAAAATTTTTCCAAATAAAATGAGAGTGAAACATTAGTAAAACCTGTCCATCACTGACAATGGAGCTTAACAGACCTACACTGGTGAAACAATGGATGCCAACAACTGTGAAACAGATTTTACTGATTCTGTATCTTTACTGATTCTGTATCTTTACTGATTCTATATCTTCTAATTTTCTAAGCTCCCTGGCAAAAATTGACGTAAGCATGTTCATTTCTAAGGATTTCTAAACACGCATACCAAATGGTCTAACTAGGATGACCATGATATGATCTGCAACACACAAATCAAGTTCAGAGCAGCATTTGCAAGAAGGGTGCTTTTAACTTTTCACTGTACCAAATGGTTTTAAAGAAATGTAGCATATTAGAAGCACAAAGAAGCTAAATTAAAACACTTATTGTTCTCATACTATGAAACCAAGTTGGTATTAAAGCAGCAATACTGCAAGGATTTATCTATTTCAAGAAAGCTTTAATATATGAAGATGATATACGATAAGAAAATATTGTTACTGAGGATTTTGGCAGTAAAGGAACTTGTGTTAGAAGGCAGCTCTGACAATTCTTTGAATCTAAAAGACCTATAAGTACTAAAATGTCATCTGTCTATCCATGTGAGATTTAGCTTTGGCAGTATTTCAAAAGTGAAAAAAACATTATTTTTTATATATTTTCCCCACTACAATATATTTTCAAAGCTGTCTAAGAGGCCATATTCTCTTGAGAAGTACAGTAAGATGTATATGTGTTACAGAAATATTTGCAGAAAAAAACTAAGTTGAATAGTCACAACAATCAATGGGTCAAACTGTGGACAAAAGCACAAAGTGTGGAATTTATTGTCAAGAGTTGGCACATAAAGATTTCAAATAATCTCTTAAATTTAGACAGTCGTTATTCTGTTCAAGCCAAACTAACCAAACCATTTGGAAGCTGACTTGGTTATCTCCATATAAATTTGTCTGTTGTTAAATGATGTCATTACCACCCTCTGTACCCCTTTTTCTAAGTATGGACTATTCCCAATACAGGTTTGGAAAACAGAGTTGTCTCGCTCATAGGGCTATTTTCTTTTAAATGTTTTAAAATTAAAAAGAGACAGAGAGAAGAAGGTTAGAAAAGAAAGCAAGACAAGGAATGCACTAATTGCTCATCCCTGACCTCTTCCAAACAACTGCAAAATGATGAAAGTTGGTTTTTTAAAGATGAAAACAAATGATCTTTAATTTACATTTTAAAAAATTCCTGTTAAAAGATTATTCACTAACTGTAGTTGCTGATCAGTCCAGCTATGGTGAAGCCTGCCAACTGTGCTCAGCTGATAAAAACATTAAAATAACAAGAAATTATTACAATAGATTTTCTGTGTACTTACATATTCTTGGATTTGAATGCTTCAGCAAAGTGCTGCACACTCTGAAGAGAAGCAAGGTCTAAGGTCATTGCTTCTACCTTGGCTTTATGCTAGAACAAGAGAAAATATTAAAAAAGATAAGTACCAGCAAGTTTAGTTCACAGTATCATGTTACAGTAAATGTGTTATGAAACTTGTCCAATTCCCTTGTTTAACATTATAAGCCCAAAGTGAATACAAATCATCAAAAGCAATGGACAAGCACAACATTTAGTGCCATAAGTAGCACTGCCATTTTGTGGTTCTGCTATGTAACACACAGCTTTATATAATATAATGAATTGCCACAAGGTAGCGTTAAGGTTAATATGGAATCTTTTTTCTTCCATTTAGCTAGTGAAACTTATCTAACTCATGAAATAAAAAACAGAGTAAGCATTATTCTTAATGCATGCTGGTTTCTACATACCATAGCAACAGAAAAATACTCAGTAAATAATCCACAAAAAACCAGCTAAATTCAAACTTGCCCAGATTAATCCAAAACAATCTATTGTTCATAGCAGGTGATATAAAAGACAGTATAAAATGAGTACAGAAAGTAACTGATCAGACTACACAGCTTTTCATACAATAAGAGTTTACCAGTGCATAATATCTTCTAAAGAAATTACATACATACTTAAAACCAACTTTTCACCTAGAAGAGGACATGCAACCGCACAAAATGACAGGTTAACCTGAAGGTGCTAACCTTTGGCACCACCAAAACAACTCTTCTCAATTTTTTCAGCTTTAAGATCCCTGTTCTCAGACCTTTTGAAATGCTTACACTCAAAATCTCAGAACAAAATGAACCAAAACTCCATTTTCATTGCAACCACCAAAGTGAAAGTCATCACAGAACCAAGTGGATGGTGGCTCTGCAAAGCCACAGCTCTGGACAAGCTTTCATTGACTGCAGCTGTGTGTCTGCACTGCAACATCCAACAGCTGGGTTTAGGTCTTCCACAAACGCTACACTTTAAGACATCTATGATCTTCTGCAAAACACCATCCATCATGACATACAAGTCACATAGTAAGGAATTATGAACACGTCTTTGTGCTCACCCTCGCTTTCAGACTCACTGTTGCCCAGCACCACATAAACTCTCTGGTACATAAAAGAAAGCTGACAAAAGCCCTGTACTCTCCCCAAACCTAAACGTCAATTTTTGGTCCACTCTGCTTAGCTTACTCAGGAAAAATAAATTAGAGGGATACTCCACGTAATTCCAACATGCTACCTACCCCTACGTGTCAGGCTGGACATGAGCACTGCTGAAGGAAAGAGTAAGGAAAAGATGGAGCAGATAGAGTGGTACTATGCAATCAGAGGCAGCACGAGCGGAGAGGCAATGGGAGCTTTGTTAGCACCGTGGTGCAACAGGGGATCTCCTATGATTACAAGGTTATACAATGAGCACTTCTAGAGGAAAAAAAGGAAGCAGGACGCATGTCAGCGCGGAAGGAAGCCAAGAAGACTGTTCCCATTGTCTCCCAAGTTCAAGTAATTCATCTGATCTCCGTGTCTCATTACATCTGGTGCTGTTCTCCCTACATCTGTTTTCTATTTTGCTAGCACCCATTCTGCCCGCTACAATTACCTTACAGGTTGGGTTTAAACAGAATGTCACTCAAATTCCCTTTGTCCTCCTCCAGCCAGACTTATCAGGACAGCAAAATAAATACAACTAAAATTCCGACAGGTTCAGTTCCCATCAGGAAGTATCAGTTGATGGACTCTGAAAATGCTAAATCCAACCTTGTTACAAAGAGGGTTTTTACCCTCACAAGATGCACATCACTCTGGAATTCATTTTGCCCCACTGGCTAAATATTTTCTTCTGTTTGATGGTCAGAGACTTGAGAAAGATGCTGCTGCCTTGCATTATGCAATAGAGCTCCACAACAACTTCTCTTCAACTTTGCAGTTCAAAGCTGTTTACATAACAAAGAAGTAGGGTGCATAGCTGGGTTTGTTTTGCTTCTGCGTTCCTCAGTTGAAACATTCTCCCGTCTCTCCCAAGGGTAAAAGGACAAGAATGCTACAAATACAGGGACATAAGAGGGGGTCAAAAAATTTCTAAAGCACTTCAACAGACTATACCACAAGCTGTTAACTGCTGTCCTCTTGCAGACACAGATTCAAGTCCACATGACATTGCTCAGGTAATGCTTTTCCTCTTGGTGTCACATGTTAGGCTTCTGCTACTGATTCCAAGAACAGAAGAGAGGTGTCCATGTATTTCAAGTCCAAAAGAAAAATAAAGTATGACACCTCCAAAATACTTTCACAAATAGAAATTAAACAGTCTAAGATTGGCCTGGATTTGTGGATGAATATATTGAAAATGTTAAAATCAGAAATTTAAAAATCATAAATAAATTACTGAAAGTGATAAATGTTTGACTGCTAGATAGCAAATGCAAACTATAATTATGTCTGTTCTCTACCAGTTCCATCAATAAAATGAGACTACCTTTCTATTCATACTCTATTTTCTTCAGCCGGTAAGACAATTTATTCCAAACAATTTAAAACTACTTCATCTTTTTTTCTTTTTGCTTTGATATACATACACTTACATAAAAAGACAAAGAAAACATTTGATAAGAAAGTAAAAAAAACCTGTATCTAAAATGACCTGAAAAAAATGAAAAACAGAGATAGCAAAAAAGAATGGTTTTAGTAATTTTTCCATTGGTCAGCAAAGGCAAATGGCAAAATAATTTTTTTTCAACTTTCTCCCTGCTTTTGCTTTTTAAAAACCTGATGGCAACAGTCTGCATTTCCTTCACACATATACAAGGTGCATACTGAGCACAGAGACACACATTTGCTCTGTTTTCCTCATAGGAGAAACTGGAGCATGCAACATCCAAAGCACTCGGATCAGAACTTGCCACCTCAGCTTCTGAAGCATGCAAAAAGCCCATCATCATTTTTTTCCACAAACAGGAACTGGGAAAGAAATCATTTTACATGCCATGAGCTTAGGCAAGTTCCCAGATTTCTGTTTTAGATTCTCCTTTATCAACTGAGGTTCGAGCACCTCTCACTCCACACAGGTATTTTGTAGACCATTAATTCCTACTACACTTTGAGAACAGGAAATACTAAGCCTTTAGTATCAATTCTTTTTCTTTCCAGATTTTCCCACTCTTACTTCTATGTCACAATTTCTTTTTAAAAAAACTATGAATAAGGCAATATACTTGCACGGTATATTCCTAATAATGTAAGAATATATTCAATCAATGACAAGTAGAAGGTTTGTTGTTTGTTTTCTTGCAGTAGCTCGGTATTACCTTTGTTACAATGTTTTCCCTCTTT